TAATTTTTTTCTGTGCCTGCTTTTGTGGGCCGTTTGATCTTAACCTAAGTGGGGTGCTTCGAAGATTACCTTTCAGCATCAGATTAGCAATCGGAGAATGAAAGTGAAACAGATTTCTTTTGTGCGTTAAAGAGGGAAAACAAAATGAGCCCCCCTTTCATTGTGATCATTCCAACTAAAGTGTAAACATTTATGACAGTGTGCACAGCGTTGCAAAGGGCTTAATGTCAGTTTTCCAGCTGTGTAACAAACTTTGGAAAAATTAATTCTGCCCCTAGGTCATTTGAAACTGACGCGTAAGTATTTCCATGTGAAACAGACCAAGCTCATTTTTCTTTGGTGCTACTTTTTTGGGAGAAGTGCGTTTGTCTTGACCTACTCTATAAACAGAGACCTTAATGGCTGGTTTGTTAATGTTTACTCTGTGTGGGCTGCTAGGCAAGCCATTTAACAAGACTTTTAGCTCTGCCTTGTTGTCATCTGGGAAACATGGTCCGTTTTGAGCCTTTTTTGTCATTGACCTTTTCCGTTCCTTTTGTTTGCTGTAGGTCTGTCACTTGCTAATCGGATCTGAGAGTCCTGTGGTAGATTATGGGAAGCATGAAATGGCTCTGAGAGAACTGTTTTGCAAAAGTGTTTGCTGTTAGTTGTGAGGCAATCAGTGATGTCATTCCCTTCATGTTTGGAACTCATCAAGCTGATTGTGAAAGGATTGGGTTCTCTAATTCTGAGACTATAATTCCTTTCTGGCTTATGTATTTGTTGATATGGCTCATACCTTTTCATTGGCTGCCACGAAGTAATGCAAGGGGAAGGCATGTGATTGATTTCCTGCCAATAGGCTAATTCACGGGCGAAGATGAACTGCTGTAAATAAAATAGAACAACTTTCCGTGTCATTGTGAAGTAATGTGGACATTGAGGTAAAGGAAAAATGTGAAGGAACAACACCAGAAGGGTGGCAGTCGGCTTGTCTATCTTTTTTTTTTTAAGCTGCGCCCTGAGCTGTTTGAAATTGGATTACAATTTTGGCATACACAACATTACTTATTACCCAACGAGAAGTTGCCCGATTATTGAATTGGCGAGATGTGGTTTGCATGGAGAACACTTGTCCTGGGGTGCTGGTCAAGTCCCATAAACATTAAATAGCCCTTTTAATTTACTGGAATACAGTAGGCTCTCTTTGTCAAACAGATGGTTGTCGTGGTAGCACTGCTATATTCATAATAGTGCTGTTATTTTTGGCGTGCATGCAAAGCAGCCTACATGGTGATATGTTCTGTCCAGCTGGCTGACTTGAGTCGTTTTAATGTTTTCTGTTAGAGAGGGGGTTGAAGATTTCATTTTACACATGGCAGTGACTGTAATATGAGTTCTCAGAAGTCTTAAAAATAGTCATATAGTGTGTAACCTCACACATCAAGGACTGGCCACCTCTCTCATTGTTTTTGTGGTAAAACATTCAGTGAGCCTTTTGCAACATTTCCTTCTGTAATTGGCTCATAGTTCATTTGGAATTTGGCTTTTGCAGGCAACCTTTTTTAAATGAAGAGGTTCCAGGGTGGAGTGTTTTCTGCAGTCTTTTCATGCATTTGTTCATTGCTGATAGGGGATTATGAGTGCTAACTTAAACTTGCAGAAGGAAGTTTTGTCCCTGGCATTTGGCGGGTGAATTTCTGAATGTTTTCCCCAAAACTGCCTTTACTATAGTGAATACTAAGTTAACATGCAGTTTGAGCATTGCAACTTAAGTTTTCTATTTTTTTTTCTTTTACAGTGTCCTTGTGCAAACCTGGAATCTGTAACACATTTTCTTTTGTTTTGTTTTAATGTTTTGGTTAATATTTTAGAGTTATTGAACAAGTTGACAAAAACATAAGGGAGGTGGATATTACTTCCCCTTTACTTGTTGATCTGTCCTTGACGCACCTTTATACAAGCACTGACTTGCACAGTTCCACTCTTTCAGTGTCTATATTTATGGCAACATGTTACGTCTTTTTTTTTTGTCAGTGCACAATTGCTTGAATTTGAAAGTAGATGCATCTAAACCAACTATCTAAACAAGGCAGTATTAGCTCTTTGCAAGTGTTAGGCTTTGGGAAACTGCTTTATGAGGTATTGATAGTAAAATACATTTTTAAAGCTTTATCCGGAATGCTTCTGAACTTCAACTTCACCAGAAGTAAACCTTGCACAGGGGAAATTGGCAATCTTTCGTTTCACTGTGGTCAGAGTCACGTGCTTGCTAGTCGAATAGCGCTGTCTTATCTGTCTTCCCTTTAGCTTGTACCTCTATTTGGGCTACTGAGCTTGTTGTCTTGTCTTTCCCCTCAAAAGACGGGGAGCTTTTGGTTAGGAGTTGATTTTTAAGGGTATTTTAAATGGCTCATTTGCTTTGTGAAGGAGATAATTTTTTAGTGTCTTGAAAATAAGGAAGATGGAGAGAAACCACAGTAAAGAAAAGGTGGGTTTTAAAATATTCAGTCTGCTTCAGGACTTCACAAACTCTCACTGTCAGTAGGCCTTTATTTGAAGTGTCTTTTTTTAAAACTAGTTAATTGATTGTTTTTTAGACCATAATCTAGTGATGGTGATCTAGCAAGCAGTTAAGAAAATTTCCCTGAAAGTCTGATTGCTGTTAATCTTCCACTGAGACTTTAATACATTATATCTAGAAAAACTGCTCCAGCCAGCCAGTCAGTTGGTTAAGGTTAATGTCATTTGCTGGCCAATTGAAAAATTTGAGTAAATCTGAATAATGAATACTGGGATGGAAAATGTCATTAAATTAAGTTAAAAGAGCACATGCATCTGATAAGGAGAATTCCTATGGGATTTGTAAACCATCATGTTCATAGTATTGATTAACTGGTTTGGAATGCACTAAATATTTTGTTTGTCTTTTAAGAGCCAGTTTTCCATTTCAATAACCATTTTTGGTTTAACAAGAAATAACGATTGAGCTTTGTTACTGACTTTGTTTGCAGTAGTGTTTGCATGTGCTAATTATTTTGTCCTAATAAGACATTTATTAAAACATTTTTAAATTGTTATGCTGCAGCCACAGAAAATCACTTTTTTAGCCAAACTAGAATTGACGAAAGTTAAAGAGTGTTTAGTTGTGTGCAGTTAGAATTTGTTCCACTCATAGAGAGCTGATTAGAGCTTTGTAATTGGTTGAAAGATAGTGGGCCCTGCTTAATTCCAGTGTATACAGCCAAGCAAAAGGATGTCAGCTTTCTTGCATGTAGTGTCCCATTCAGGTGGGAGTTGCATACTCTCTCTCCTTAACTCTAAAATTGTCTTAAACTTCAGCAGTGAGTCTGATGAGCATAATCATGCCCTAAAAAAGCTTACTTGCAGAGATGTTTCTGCTGAAACGTCCTCTCTTTATTCTTTTCTTCCCTGAAAAACTTTAGATGTATACCTCAGCTGCTTAGAGACTCAAGGAAAGCTGCTAGGAAAGTCTCAAAGGTCAAGTGAACCTTGTGAAGTTAGTCATATGGAAGTAGTGATACAGGTTTCTATTGAAACATGCTTTTCACTAGACTGTGGCTGGGTAATTTAATCAGCTTTTGCCCCAGTCGGCTCTGGGGGTTGCAGTGCTATAGCATGACGCATCATGAAGTTGGAGCGATGTGGGTTAGAAGGAGGTATCCTAGATGTCCAGATTTACAGCACCCAAGCAGACCTTATTATTCTCTCCTTGAACAGTAAGTGGGGGGAAAGAAAGCTTTGTGAATGCCACTGTGAGTCAACCTATCGTAGGTGTGAATGGCAGAGAGGTTGCAGCATGCTGTCCTCAGAGCAGTTGCAGAATGGATAGAATAGGCCTTTGATTTAAAAAAACAACAGAGGGACACAGGGATATTAATGTGCTTCATGCAGAAGGTCTACAGCTCCAGTCAGATCTTCGATGAGTGTTTTAGAAAACTATTTCCTATAGAAAACTTCATGCAGTGAAAAGTGTGCTCTTTGTTTGCAAATAGACATGCGTTTAATTTGGTTAGCTTGATTCCTTTTGTGAAACTTGCTGATGGAGGGGAAGAATCCGGGACTTCCAGGAGTGAAAGAGCCTGACATCATTCGCTTTGACTTTTTGGTCTTTTTATTCAGAGATCCCAACACCTTGGGCCTTTGGGTGTGGCTAAGGCATCTGTTTCGAGCTCAGGATTCTGACTGCATGTTTTAATCTCACTGTGTTGGCACTCTTGAGGTACCATCTGCCACCCTGATGTTCTGGCTAAACCTTAGTTCTTTCAAACAAGAAATTAAGCATAATGTAATTGTAAAAACTAAGGGGTTTATAGTCAGTTAACCATTTTATGCAATTGAAGATCATGTCCTTTAGGAAATATTTCTTTGTGTTCATATGCAGGTTATGCAATGCCACATGATTAAAAAAAAAAATACAGAGCATTTTCATTATACGGGGAAAATTGTTCTCAAAATGTCCAAATTGCACTTTGGCACAAAGGCTTAGAGAAAAATACCCCGGCCTGATACGGTTTGACAGTTTGAGAATTTTGTGCCAAATGTCTCTGTTAATCTTTGTACAATTTCCTTATCAGCATGAGGCCATGTTCCGTAGTTTTCTTGATGATGTTCCACTAGGCTGTGAATAAGAGATTCTCCTACTTTGTCAGAGCATTTTTGTTGACCTTATGTATTAGTTAGGCATACTTGCTTAATAAAAAAAATTAAACCTTTACAAACTGGAACGTAGTTGCTTTGAATGGATATAGCAGAACAGGAAGACTGGTTAATTTCCTTAAAGTATTTTTGGAGTCTGGACTGCCATGGAACTATGGAAAGTGGAGCTTTTGAAGATAACCTTGGCCAGCTGTGACACTCGTCTGAAACTTATGAAATCCCGTTTTCTGCCAAGTTCCATTTTAAATTTAAGAACAATTAAAAAAAAAAACTTCAGAATGCCAAATTGTCTATTTGAATATTTTTCTTTCTGACCACTTTTCTTTTTCTCTTTTCTGCAGGTATGGCCTCACAAGTCTTGGTCTACCCACCACACGTTTATCAAACCCAGACAAGTGCCTTTTGTAGTGTGAAGAAGCTTAAAGTAGAGCCAAGCAGTTGCGTTTACCATGAGAGAGCCTACCCACGGACGTATCTGAATGGTAGAACCCTTGGCATCGCTAAACCGACGAATATCGTTCGCTCATTTCAGACAAAAGACTCGGCAGGCAGCAGGCCGCGGGGGCAGAACTTTTTGCTTCAAGCCGTCGCCTTAAGAAGCGCAAGGGAGGACCCCAGGGCGACAGCGGCGCAGGCGCGGCAGAGACAGCCTCAGGAGAGGTGGGGGCCCTTGCAGGGAGCGGGGCCGGGGTGCAGCAGCAGCAGCAGTGGAGGAGGAGGAGGAGGAGACAGCAGCAGCAGCGGCGGCGACGACGACGACGAAGGAGGAGGTTTGAACTTGGCGGACGGCTCCCAGAGATGCGGGCTGAAACGTAAGAGCGAGGAGCTGGAGAACCGGGGGAGCGCCATGCAGATTGTGGAGGACCTGTCCATGTTGCCTGCGATGTTGCAAACGAATGTGGGGAACCCCGTCGCCGTGGTGGGCGCCTCGAAGCAGAACGGCGTCGGCGGGGATGGGGATTACCAGCTGGTGCAGCACGAGGTGCTGTGCTCCATGAAGAACACTTACGAAGTCCTCGATTTCCTGGGCCGGGGAACCTTTGGCCAGGTGGTAAAGTGCTGGAAACGGGGGACGAATGAGATAGTGGCCATCAAAATACTCAAAAACCACCCCTCGTATGCACGGCAGGGGCAGATCGAGGTGAGTATCCTGGCCCGACTGAGCAGCGAGAATGCGGACGAGAATAACCTGGTACGGGCTTTCGAGTGCTTTCAGCACCGCAACCACACCTGCCTGGTGTTTGAGATGCTGGAGCAGAACTTGTACGACTTCCTGAAGCAGAACAAGTTCAGCCCCCTGCCACTGAAGGTAATCCGGCCTATCCTGCAACAGGTGGCCACTGCACTGAAAAAACTGAAAAGCCTCGGCCTCATCCACGCGGACCTCAAACCGGAGAATATCATGCTGGTGGACCCTGTGCGGCAGCCGTATAGGGTGAAAGTAATAGACTTTGGATCTGCCAGCCATGTTTCAAAAGCGGTGTGTTCAACGTATTTACAGTCGCGGTACTACAGGTAGGTTGACAACATGATCATGGGTTGCTGGGTGGTTTGGGTTTCTGTTGGCATAACCATAGCTTTCAGTGCCTTTCTGTCAAGTAAGAGGCTTAAAGAAGAGCACAAAGCTCTGACGTCTCTTGTAAAAGTCTTTAAACCTTCCAGAATAGCCTGGCACATCATGCCCAGTAAACTTCTTTTCAGAGGAGGTAAATTTTATTGCAGAGTAGTGGGACAGACTTCAAATATTTTTCTGTACCACAAAGGTGGCAAACATATATACTAGTGTATTCATTTCAGAACAAAGAAAGACCAAAGATGAGAGGCAGCCTTTTCTTTTCTTTTTGACTCATCCAGTGGATCTGACTCTGTATAGAACCACAGTACAGGTTGTGCTGGGAGGAAAATTCCCCAAGTATGACATTCTCTGGACCTCCCCTCCCCGGAAAATGGCTGCTTTAAATACGTCTACCCTGTGTGTTTTTGAGAACTGGGAGGAAACTGGAGCGCACAGTGAAAACCTATGCAAACACAGGGAGGATATGCAAACCCCAAACAGATTTGCACCCCAGCCCAGAAACCAACTCAAGATCCTGGAGCTGTGAGGCTCTTATTGGGTGCGCACACACCTTGCTATTCAAACACTTCAAAACACTTGCAGTTGCTATTCAGTTTCGGGTACCACATTCTGGTGGTGCAGTACTGACGTGTGTTGACTAGATTGATATGTTTAAGAGACGTGTGGGTTTTCTACACAAGAATCAGACCCAGTGCTAACCTAGTCCTGTCAGGTCTGCGTGCAACAAAGCAATTTTCTCAATATGCCCTGCATAATGAGGAAATATTTACTGACCTCTAAAAGGAGGAACTTAATGAATTACTGGTTGAAGTAAACCATTCGTGTTTTGAATATTCATGGAAGGGAAGTGCTGTTTTCTTTACAGAATTTAATGGAAAACTGTATGTAGTTCATATTGGTATGACTCTAAAGCACACTATAGGACGTTTTGGGTTAGCAACAATAAATGGGATTTCTGTGACAGCAGTGGGAGGTTTGATGTAGTTCCTATAGTATTTCAAATAGGGGCTTTTTATTATATGGAAATAAAAATGCATGCTGGTTGAGGTTTCCTTTACCCTTACTGAGTCCACATTGCAAGTGAAAGTAAAAGTATGCATGTCAAATCCCTGTGATTTTTTTAAATTTGTTTAATGATAAGGATAAAATCTAAAAGGGATTTAAGTCAAGTTTTTTAAAGGCAAAAATTATAAGATGGTAGTATTAGCAAAAGGCTTTTTGATGGCTAACTTATACTTCCAACATACTTACACCTTAATGTACTGTCTTTAAATAGCAAGTATTTAACGACTGTTATAATCACAATGCTTAAACAACAAAGTCCTCAGATAGATAATGTAGATCACATACTAATTGTATGATGATTTTGTTATATTATACATTGTCCTAATAAATGTTAAGGTGAAATGCTTTGGTAAGATCATGGGAGAATTTGTTCAACTTGAGTGCGCGTTCTTGAAAGTTCAAACCTATTTTGTCGGTTACTGTTGTACTGTTTGGGTATTTTGTGTATATATAAAAAATCTGTTTTAATTTGCATGTGTGTTGAGCCGAGTAGGACTACTCTTCTCAGAAAAGAATAATTTGCATGACATTCCAGTTCAGACCTGCTGGTCGATTGATTCATGTGAACACATAGACTGGGAAGTTTTGTGGCAGTTAGTAATTTTCCATTTCCTCTGCCTGTGAACCACTATGACAAGTTATTACAAATAATCTCCAGGTTATTACTGTGTATCAAAAAAGGCATCTTTGATGTGGTGTCATTGTCACAGTGGTTACACAAAGCAGAATCGAAATCCAACTAGAGCATTTGGAAATAACTGTGCAATTGTTTTTCTTATATGAATATAGGAATCTGACTTTCCTTATTTAAAATATTAGATATGGGCAATATATACTATGTACCATTACATTTTTTTTTACATGTGGTGAAGGTAGGCTTCTGCTGGAGATTAAACAAGTTAAACGGGTATTAGAAAGGTTGTCTGATCATTTACAGCATTTGAAAAGTAGAGACATTTGCGTGTTACAAGCCCTGCCACTAGTTTGAAATGACATCTAATATTAAATGTAGTGCCCGTAACTACTTATATGATTGGATTACTAGAGAACAGAAGTCATGTACCACAGTTTTTGACAATACTGACTGCAGACCAGATGGCAGTGTCCTAAATGCCTAATTGCAGTCACTTTTCTGAGCAGTCTGTCTGTGATCACAGATCAACCATAGCTGTTTGAGCTTAAGTACATAAAGCTCTTAAAGTCTAAGGGAACCTATAACTAGACTATCCTGAGTTTTTGTTTGCATTAGTTTGAAACAGGCTGATAGTAATGAATGGTTTTGCTGCTGTTAGGTCAAGCACATTTTTGTTTTGTATAGTTATTGAATGACACTCTAGGCAGGCAAATACAGTGAAATAACCTTTTTTTGTAGTGTGGCATGTGGGAAATCGCTAATACACATGTAATATTTAAAATGGGAATTTTTACTTTTCCATCTTACACAAACTATTTGGATCCTAAAACGGAAGTAGTATCCCGATTGAACAGCGATTCTGTAGTCTGCATGTCTTTGCAGTTAATGCCTTAAATTGTGCAGTATGTGGAAATATTGCATCATAGGGATACTATGTGGGTTACATGGCTTTTCTGATGCAATGAAAACTTTGCCTGGCAGTTGAGCTCCTATTTCTGTAATGGTCTTGCTTTGGAATCTCAGACCATTTATTCTTTGTTTGCTTTTATGAGGGAAGGAAAGGCCACCATCTGAGGATGTCATCCAGCTAGGATTAATTGCATCATCTGATTGTAACTTGACTTTACCTTTCCTGTGAGATCCCTTAAGCATGCATACAGACAAAACATGTTATTTGGTGGCACTTTAGGCCCCAACATTCATTAACAATAAAAGTTTAACAATTCCCTGATAGTTGAGTAAAATAGTTTTTAAATGTAATTCTTAACTCTTGACTTTACATTTACTGCTTGAAGCAGATAAAGACTTTATTAATAAGCCTTTGACACTGACATTACATTAATAGGTTCCTTGTTTTACTTAAGACTCTCAGTTTGGCATACCATGTGCTGTGTGTGAGAAAAATCTTGACCTGGTGACGATCAAAACGAAATGAGATAAGTGAGGGACATGTATCCTTATATAACGCAGACAAAATCCGTTTTCAGTAGTAAAATTAAAATTTGAATCTAAACTTCTGCATTTCTGTATTTCCCCAACTTGGGTATTAACATAACACCAGCTGCTTTTCTTTACACACCTGCGGAATGGAATGTTAGGTACTGCAAATGATATTTTTACAGTGTGGCTTTTCGGCATATAGTTGTCATGTGACTGAAAGTTCTGTGTCTTATTCAATTACTGAAAGCAAATGGTGACGCTTAACCCACAGGGGAGAAAATTAATCATGAGACTTGATATGACTGACTGTAAACAGAGCCGAGTGCTGTGCAAAGCAACCATTTCACATCTGGGGGGAAAGATGAATGCTAAAAGCATTCAGTCAGCTAAAAGCACTATATGGAATTAAGTGTTTGAAGTTGCATTGGAGCTTGCTAAGTTGGTTTACTTTTGCTCCAAATTTGAAAGCATTTATTTTCATGTTAAGAAGACTGTACAGCAGGTACGTTTATAAAACTGATACAATTATACAATTCTTAACATACAAAAAATAAAATGGTACATGAAATGTCCCTTACGTGAATACACTCTGATACTTTAAATGATTTGTAATTGAGATATCCAACAAGGTTTAATGCCATTGTCTTGTATTACTAAAATCCTTGGTGTGCTGGTGTGGGTGTTTTTCAAATTGGTCACCTAGTAAATGAAGCCATAATAAGCCTTTTAGAATGTTCTAGGAATCCCACCTGAACACGGAAAGAGGCTGTTCATGTGCTATGTGGTTTTTAGAATACTGTTTGAAATACGCAGTTGACATTTGTTTTAATCGAATGATTAAAGTAACCTCCTTCATCCGCTCAAAGTTACATAAGGAACAATAGAACTGTCCCTCCCTGGTCAGGTCCTTTTCCCCAGTTCCGATACATGTGCATTTGCTCATTCTAAAAGGACGTAGGTTGCCATAGCTCATGTTATAGCTGTTAAATGTAGGAACTATAGAAACCTTTTGCTTGGATTGTTTTTCCTGCCTTTGTATGCATTGTCGGTGGAAAGTAGACACTGCCGCCCAGCCCAGCTTTATCATGACAAAGCCAATGTTCTGTTCACTTCCTTAAAAGAGGTTTGAGATCAGTGTGTTGTCACTGGATATTACTGCTGCCCAACCTAGCTTTAACATGACATAGCCGATGTTCTGCCCCCATCCATGAAAGAGGCTTGAAAACCAATGCTGTGATCGGGAGCGTGACAAGTACATATTTTCTGAGCTGCTTAATAAACCTTTGTATCCTAATTTATTTAAAAAAAAGGTAACTGAACTACTGAATAGTTTTTCTTCTCTTGCAGTGGTGGAGGAAATTAAAGTCCCGGGCATTCAGTTTTTGAAATGATTGAGATTGCAAAGTAAATCTGAAGTTGGCTTCTGGTTAAGCAGGGTTTTATGGATAGTTCCATGACTGAATTGTTTCAGCTGTAATATTTTATGGGGAAACTTGTGTAATTATTTGTTTAAGTATTTTAAGTGTTGAGGTCAAATATAAGTGTGTATTCCCACTGCCAGTAGGCAGATTGTTACTTCAGTTAGGATGTTATATTATTAAACGCTTTTTTTTAAGCTGCCTGACGCCACATAGGAACTTGAAATATATGTGGTTGTCTTCTTGTACAAAGATGAAGAGGGGACATTTACACAGCTGAATGTTCATTCAGGCTTTCCCCTTCAGTTTTCTGTGCAATTCCCAGTTTCTGAGGTAGCGGTCGTAGGGCTAATGATTCAAATGACATGTGCTACGTGCTATT